AGGACAGCCGAGCCTCCTCCAGCCAGGCAGGGTAGCCCTGCTTGGGGGGAAGGTCCGCAATGGTGCTGGGTCCCAACTGCTCCCCTGGACCCCCCCATCCCTCCCACCACAGTTTCCTTCCCGCTGGTGCCTGGCTGCAACGCACGGCCCCTGTGCCTCTGCCCACACCTTCTAATAGCTGGGTACGCCCAGCTGGGCACTATATTTGGGGCTGGCTGCGGGCAGGATGCCGACCCCTGGGTGTGCAGCTCTGGGAGGGCAGCCCTGCTTGGAGCGACAGGCAGAAAAGAGCAAGGACTGCCTGCGTCTGTTGGTGCAACAGAGGATAACCCAGGCTGGAAGGGGCCTCGGGAGGTCCTCTCCTCCAGCCCTGCCGGTAGGGCTGCGAGCGAAGCCAGCAGGCAGAGCAAACTAAAGGCGGGGAGGTGGGAAATTACCTGCTGCAGGGCTCTGCAGGTCCTAAAAAATATTCCTAAGTTCAAAAACTACCAGAGAAAACTGCAGGAGAGAGCTATGCTGATGGCTCCTACCACCAAGACACCAGTCCCGGCTCAGCCAGTCCTCACAATGTGCAGGCTCCAGTCACCCCTTCTCATCCTGAGGCTTGGCCACCCCCAGAGGATGACTACCCTCAGGTCACGCACGAGCTCTGGGAAGGGCTGGGTCACCCTGGGGCCGTGTCCAACACCCTAGGCACACCGCTTACCTGGACAGAGATGTGGGGGTCATCTCCAGGCAGCAGCATCTCCATGCCGTCCTTCCTCCATTCGATGGACGCCATGGGGTAGGCGAAGACCTCACAGCCAAAGATGACGTCCTGCCCGGTGATGTTCCACGTGTCGTAGGGAGGAGAAGTGATCTGGGGCTCTGGGGAGCGGGGACAGGAGAGCAGGATGGGCTCAGAAGAGGTCCCACCCTCAGCAGGTCCCATGGGCTCTCCTGGGCTGGTCCCCTCCAGGGTGGCAGCATTTGGCTCATGTAGAGATGCTGGGACCCTCCCCATGCCCCTCTCCTCTCCCACCCAGAGCAGACCCTCACCTTGCCCCAGGACATGGTCCCTCCTCGCAGCTGGGACTGGGGGCTCCCTCCCCAGCCCCCCGTGGCTCATGGGGAGTTGCCATCCCTCCTGGCCTCGCTTTCCCCGCCTGCGCAGTGATGCTCAGGGACACATGGGCAGCAGGTACAGTTCAATAACAGCAACGCTACAAAGCAAAGCTGTCCTGCGCAACCGAAGCACGCTCCTCTTGCCGGGGGGAAGGCCGAGGGGCACTCATCCAGCCCAGGGCTGGTGGGGATGGATGAGGTGGATGAGCTTCCAGCGAAACGAGGCCTCTGCTCTGGCACCGGGCTCGTGCCAGCGATTAAGGGAGCCATCAGGTCCCCAGCTGCTGTACGGAGCCAATACCTCCAGGTCCCACATCCCTTCCCTGGAGGGATGGAGTGAGGACCACCCTTCCTACCCATACCTGCTCCAGGATCTGGCCTGTAGCATGAGCCAGAGGTCAAGGGAAGGCCTCCACCTCCAAATATGCCTGGGGGAAAAGCTCAAGGACATGATGATCTACATAAAATAAAGTCAACATTGATGCTGCTCAGGCTGTGGTGGCAGCAACCTGTGTGGACTGGGCAGGCTGGGGCACAGCCTCCCCACCACTGCCCGGCCCCCCCAGCCTCCCGCTGGGTTTTAAACAGGAGATGGAAACTGTGCAGCCAAGTCAAATCGACCCAGGTTTCTATTTGCAGGAGGCAGTCGCAATTCTCGGGAGCGGCGGGCCAGAGTGAACCCAGCACTGCCGCCAAGAATTCACTAACAATTCCCTGGAACTTCCCCATCTGCTCCAGCAGGATTTGCTGCTTCCCTTAAACCCCGCTCCCACTTGGCAAAGCTGCTCCCAGACCTCTCCAGGCTCCAGATCCGCAGGGGCTGCCCTGGAACAGCAGAGCCGGGGGGACAGGGGAAGAGGGACACCGGAGGGTGGGTACCCTGTACCCAGCCTCTGGTGCTGCCATGTCCCTGCGGATGCTATGGGTTTGCTGCCAGGTGAAATATTTAAACCAGACTCCTTTGCTTGTCCCTTCCCAATAGATACAAGCCTCCATCCTATTGCCCGCACAGCCGTTCCTGGGGTACTACCTGACTCGCAGGGACCCTCATGGGCCACGGTGAGGTTGGTGTCGGGGTGGGCACGGGCGACCTCCAGGAACCTGCAGATTTGGGCGTAGGTTTTGCCATCGGAGCCGCAGAGGGCCAGGCGGGAGAGGCAGGTGCACTGGGGCTCCGGCACCTCTCCGCGCCGCAGGTCTCCAGCCGGCACTCCAGGTGCTCCCCGCACTTGCCGTAGAAGTGGTTGGTGTTGTCCAGGTCGCAGATCTGTCCCTCCAGGTTGGCACACTCCCAGCAGCAGTCGCAGGCATCCCGCACCGTGCCAGCCAGGCACCCGCGCGGCGCCGGGCACTCCTCCGGCCGGCACTCAGGGCAGCCCTCCCCTTCCTCCAGCAGCCGCTGCCCGCCCCACTGGAGG